CACACACCACAGGGTGAGCACCCCCTGGTGGCCTCACTAACACCTCTTCCAGCAGCAACCTAGTTTTCCCAGGAGGTCTCCCATCCAGGTACTGACCAGGCTCAACCCTGCTTAGCTTCAGTGGGCAACCAGTCTTGGGCTGCAGGGTGATATGGCTGCTGGCCATACTTAGTATGTAAGGTAGCGTGTTTTACCTTAGCCAGACAGAAGCAGGCCTGCATGCGGACTTTATAAAAGCACTGGTCTTGGTCTAAAATATCAGTGAGAGCAAGTCGTGAGGCTGGTGTGAGAAATTTTTCCAGTTCTGCCTCCTCCTGGGACACCACATCCCTCTCAAACCGCAACTGGTACTGCCACATGAAATCGGCCTGTTCAAACTCCACCTTCCGTAGGATGGACATGTCCAGATCGATTCGGATCCACAGCAGAGGACAGTCAGCACTGCGACATCATAACAGAAGAAAAGGGTCATTGTAGACAAAAAGTTGAACTTGATCAAGCTCTCCATGTATTTTGACTAAAGAGACTCTAAAGGACCTTCCTATAGCCTAGAAAGTTCATGGACTGTAAATTCTGACTATGGATATTATTTATTAAAAAAAATGGAGACTGGTCTGAAAGCATAAAAGGCAGATTCCACATTAACCTGCTTAACCAGTGCCTAAGCACACAGTGCTGTGTACAGCGCTGGTAATAACTTTCGCTCATCCTTACCCAATGCTATTGCAGAGAGTAGATGATCTCTCTAGCTCCCTGTGGCTGCCCTGCCTGCTCTGAAATCTGAGAGACAACAACACTACTCACTTAAAGGGTTAGTTCACCCAAAAATGAAAATTCTGTCATTAATTACTCACCCTCATGTCGTTTCAAACCCGTAAGACCTTTGTTCATCTTCGGAACACAAATTAAGGTATTTTTGATGGAATCTGAGAGCTGTCTGACCCTGCATAGACAGCAATACAACTGAAATGTTCCCAAGTCCAGAAACGTAGCAAGGAGATCTGTAAAATAATCCATGTGACATCAGTGGTTCATCCGCAATTATACGAAGCTACGAGAATAATTTTTGTGAGCAAAAGAAAAAAAATAACGACTTTATTCAACAATTCGTCTCATCCGCGTCACCCTGTAGCGCCATTTTGGAGAATATCCGCTGGATGTAAACAGCGTATGCTGTTCTGAGTCAGCTGCGTCACACGGATACGCTGTTTTTGTTCAGATAAAATCACAACAACGTAGGAAACAGATCTGGCGTGATGCAGCTGACACAGAACAGCATACGCTGTTTATATCCAGCTCATATTCTCCAAAATGGCGCTACAGGGTGACGCTTTTGCTCACAAAAATTATTCTCGTAGCTTCGTAAAAATTACGGTTGAACCCCTGATGTAACATGGATTATTTTACAGATCTCCTTGCTACGTTTCTGGACTTGGGAACATTTCAGTTGTATTGCTGTCTATGCAGGGTCTTAGCTTACTTGTCTCTGCGATGTCTCTCTACTATGGCGAAGCTGAAGGTAGTTACTTCAGAAACAGAAAGAATATGCTGTAACATTTCCGTTTTTAAGCTGATAAATCACAGGACAGCGTTGACCAAATTTTCTTCATTCCTGAGTGTATGCGCGCGAGCTGTATGTTATGTGCGAGCTTGTGTGTTCTGTTCGTGTGCAGCAATGTAGCAGCACATTAGTTTCGAGCGGAGATTAACAAATT